TACAGGGTGGGCCATTTAAAGCTGACCCACTTGATTTTTAAAACAAAAAAATACGGTCCGATGATCATATTCGCGCAAACACCCCACCAAACTGTAACTTTTTGGTCGTAAAGTGGCTGTTCTTCGATTAATTGAGGATTTTCGGTGGCATAAAATCGACATTTTTGCTTATTTACACCTCCATTCATCAAGAAATGCAAAGAATGCAAAATGAAAAAAAAAGAATGCAATCGGCTGTCAGAGCTAAAGGTGCCCATTTACGTGATATCATTTTTATACCCTTGCAGAGGGTATTATAATTTTGGTCAAAAGTGTGCAACGCAGTGAAGGAGACATCTCCGACCCTATAAAGTATATATATTCTTGATCAGGATCACCTCCTGAGTTGATATGAGCATGTCCGTCTGTCCGTCTGTCCGTCTGTCTGTCCGTCTGTCTGTCTGTTTCTACGCGAACTAGTCTCTCAGTTTTAAAGCTATCTTCTTGAAACTTTGCACACACCCTTCTTTCCTTTGCACGCAGTATATAAGTCGGAACGGCCGAGATCGGCCGACTATATCCTATAGCTGCCATATAACTGATTGATCGGAAATGGTATAACTTTGGTGTTTTTAGAGTAAGAGAATTCAAATTTGACACAAAAGCTATTTTTGGCAAAATAATACGACGTGCCAAATTTTATAAGGATCGGTCGACTATATCCTATAGCTGCCATATAACTGAACGATCGAAAATGACCCAAATTTCGTGTTTTTGAAGATAGAAAGCTGAAACTTAGTACAGATTCTATTTTTGATCAGTTGATCCAACTTACCAAATTTCATTAGGATCGGCCGACTATATCCTATAGCTGCCATATAACTGAACGATCGGAAATGGTTTTTGGTAGAAATACCAACTTTGGTATTGTTAAAGATAGAAGTTTGGGACTTGTTTTAAATTTTGTATTATAATAAATTGGGTTATATAGTCATATTCTCATAAGGATCGGCCAACTATATCCGATGTTTGCGATATAAATCCGGTTTTAACTGCAAGGGTATATCAACTTCGGCTCCGCCCGAAGTTAGCTTTCCTTTCTTGTTAATAATAATTTGTAAAAAATCTCCTTGGACCAAAATAAATAATTTTTGGAATAAAAAAAAATTGTCCACTTTTTTGTTTTTGTTTTAAGAATCAAGTGGGTCAACTTTAAATGGCCCACCCTGTATATTCAGTGAAGGCGTGAGAAAAAACATCTGCATTAAAGTGAAGCGTGTTTGAAGGCATTTAATTAAATCGATCATCATAATAAGTAAATACTTACATATATTACAAAGGAACGCGTGGATGCGAACAGATTAAAAATTTTAAAAAGAAAAATAAAAGAAGAAAAAAAAAACTGATCAATGCAAGGTATTGCTATAAAAATTGAAAAAGACATTACCAAAAATAATGCAATAATGATGCTCAAGCAAGAATTGAAGACACCCTAATACCCGTCTTCGATGGAACAAACTTCACAAATTGGAAACTGAGATTGATGGTACTGCTGGAGTACAAAGAATGCAAACAACAAGCAACAAGGATAAAGACCGATAAGGAAGCTGAAGCGGACTGGACTAGGAGAGACCTAAAAGCGAGGATGATGATTATAAGAATAGTCACTGACAGACAGTTGGACAGCTGGTGAATGCAAATCAGCCTATAAGATGATGAAAAAGTTTGATAGTATAGCGCTCCAGATCATGCAAAGAGGCAAAATAGATGAAATAAAACTAAGCAATTATACAGAAGTGGACGACTTCTTTGTTGATTTTGAGAAGGCAATAAATGATTTTAAAGCAGCTGGTGGAGTTTTGGAAGAAGCAGAAAAAATGACATAGCTTATAAAAGCATTGCCGCCAAACTACAGCTACATATTTTGGTGATTTTATAAATATTGTTTTCAGAGCAAGAAAAATTAAAGAGAAAAATTTCAACAAAAGCGAGACGTGTAAAAGATCAAGCGTGTGTACATTCAAAGCGAATGCTAAAGGAGTCTGTTTCAGTTGTGGCAAATCAAGGAAATCAAGCAAGTCGAAATGCTATTCAAACAGGACAAAACAAAGGATTTCATCACAACCTCGGCAGAGGAAAACAATAAATGTTCAAGGCAGTTCACGAGGCTACAGCAGAGGCAGGGGAGCTTACCGAGGATACGTGAACGAGACTTCAGGCAACGAATCGAGCGCAGCATGGTCTGTCGAGTTACATCATCCTGCAGCTAATGGACCAAGTGGATGTGCTTCAAGGACTCAAGCGAAAATGGTTGTCAATTAAATTGGATCTAGGACAGCGACGGACCATATAATCAAAAGCGACAAATATTTCGGGAGTTATCAAAATCTAAAAATTGCTGTCGATGTTAAGCTGCCAGATGGAAAAACTTTAAAAGCTACCAAAATTGGTTATATCACACTAACTTTTAAAACCTACTATAAAACTGTAGAGTTAAAAAATGTTTACTATGTAAATGGAATTCAGGAGAATTTATTAGGCGTATGTGTAACTCAGTATGTGATAAAAGGTATTGCAAAAGAAACTGATAATATTAAAAAAGTCTATACAAGTTTGTTAAAACTAACAAAGAAAGAAAAATGGCATAGGGCACTTGGCCATATAAACTTTAAATATTTAGATAAATAACTTTCGGAAAAATTATTAGAAGGTTTGTCAGATAAGCTAGAAAAAACTGAGAAGAGTTGTTGAAAGAAATGAAAAAACTGAATGAACTGCTTACAATCTAAAATGTCCAATAAGCCATTTAAAAATAGACATATAGAATAAAATCTAAAGAAATTCTCGAAACAATTCATACAGACTTAAATGGACCGCATATTACAAGCAATGTCGGAGAAAAATATTTTCTAACATTCGTAGATGATTATAGTAAGTGCACTAGGCTATATTGTATCAAAAATTAATCAGACACGGTAAATAGTTTCAAAGATTAAATTAACTTCGTAGAATATAAATTTGACAAATGTGTGAAAAAATTACAGTGTGGTAACGAAAAGGAGTATTTAAACAAAAACATATACACTTTCATACGGTATAAAGGAATAGAGATACTAACTTGTCCTCCATATGTACATACATGAACTAAATGGCGTAGCTGAAAGCAAAGATTATAAAGTACATAGATGGGACATCTCATACAAAGAAAAATTTTCTATGGCGGGTTCCAGCAGTTCCCGCTCGTTCCAGCGGGTTCCATTGCGCGACAAGTTAAGTTTGAGAAATTTTTCGCGCGACAACGAATGAGGAATAGCCGAGTGGTAGAGTGCTTGACTGGTGTGCAAAGTAAAACGAGTTCAAACCAGGCTCGGGATCTATCTATTAGATTATCTATTATTATAATCTATTTATATTATATTTTTATTCTTTTAATGTGTTTTCCTAAATTTATAATCCAATTTTTTATTGGATTGAAATACAAAATTTTTTATTGAAATACAAAATTGTAAAATCACCTTAACATCGTCTCAGTTCGTAGTGGAACCCGCTGTAAAAATGTCTACAAGTGCGGGTTCCACAACATTTTGGCAGGACGCGTCGTGGAACCCGCTCTCAAATGTTTTCATTTTTACAGCGGGTTCTACGACGAGAAAACAAATGGCATGGGGACAAACGGCTGGCAGATGAGTGAGGGAAAGAGAGAATTCTATTTTTAGATTGTAACACCTTTGGAACGATGAAAGTTTGAAACGTTGTAATCGAACTAATGTGAGAGTAAAGAGATCAGAAATATCTTTTACTATCCTTACTCGTCAACTTACAAGTAGATGGATAGTGCGTGGTCCTTATTCATGGGGTCCTTGATTCGACTTCATTAGCGGGCTGTTGTTTCGATTTTGATAAAGTTTTGGTTTTATGATTCTTTTTATATTTACTTTTATTTTTTTATTATTTTTTTTTTTACTTTTAATTTTTACGTTATTATTATTATTTTTAATTGCATTCTATTACACTAAGTAATACAAAAATAAGTGACAGACGTGTCGGATAACAAAATGCCGGATAATAAAAAATAATTATAAAATAAAGAAAAAGTTCAAAGTCCTTACGAGGATTTAAACACAGAACAATTTCTCATAGAGTAACTACTCTTTGCATTACGCTACCATCCTGTCCCGATCTGCGGCGATTAAAAATACTATTTGTTCTACCAACTACCACATCGGCGCATCGAAAACAGAAACGAGAAATTGAAATTGAAATTTGGAAGCCAAAACATTTTTACTCCGTCGTGCGAGCAGTCACACATACACACATAGGTTCACATTTTTGTTGACGGATACATGTAAAGAGTTCTAAAAATAGAATCGTATGCATGTGCGTTCCCCCCTCACCAACAAGCTCGACGAAAAAAGTTGACCGTTTTGGGCCCTGATGTCTCATCTATGTACATATGTACTTAATAATCTTTGCTGAAAGATATAACAGGTCAGCTATGGACATGGGCAGATGTCTTATGCGGGAAACTAATTTAAATAGGCAGTACTGGCCCGAAATTAGGAAAGCAGTAGCTTATTTAAAGAACACATCGAAATATTTTCAGTATTAAGCCACTTTAGGACTTTAGAAACTGGAAGTATGGTCGGGGTAGGCCAGTCTTTAATTTATATACAGTGGCTCGCAGCTTATTTCGTGCAGTTACCTAAAAAAAGTTCTGGTCGTTATTCCGGCTAAACTAAGCAAGATAACAGAAAAATTTAAATGCAGTATTTTAATGGGGAATATTAACATGTTTATTAAATAAAAAGGATTTTCTTAATCATAAAAACAAAATAATTATTAAAAAAAAACAAAATATACAGGCTTTTTCCATGCCGCAGCTTATTTCGTGCAGTATGTTTAAAGTTAAAACTCTGAACATTTAGTCTTAAAAATCACAGCTTTTTTTAGTATTTGATCATTTAGAATAGTAACAAATACAGATCTTATGAGTTTCTGATATTGGTCACACTTCTAAAAAGAAATTCATGGGAATTACCGAAATGGCACCACGCTCAATGATCATGAAGAGCGCCGTATTGTCAGGAAAATTAAGGAAAACCCAAAGCTATCGGCCCCGAAAATAGCAGCAGAGATCGAGGACGAAATGGGCAAGAAATGTAGTGCTGATACAGTGCGGCGTGTGCTTCACGATCATAACTTTAATGGTCGAGTAGCACGAAAGAAGCCTTTTATAAGTAAAAAAAATATGGCTACTCGGATAAAGTTTACAAAGGAGCATATAAATTTGCCAATTTCGTTCTGGGAGGACGTAATCTTTGCCGACGAGTCAAAATTTAACATTTTTGGTTCGGATGGACGACAATTTGTGTGGCGGCGACCAAATACAGAGTTAGAAAACAGGAACCTGAAACCTACGGTGAAACATGGCGGTGGTCACGTCATGGTTTGGGCCTGTATGGCAGCCTCTGGCGTGGGCAACCTCATTTTTATTGATGGAATCATGGATGCCAATATGTACCTGAAAATTTTACAGGATAATCTACTTCAAACTGCTGAAAAACTGGGTATACGAGATCGTTTTAGATTTTACCAAGACAACGATCCGAAGCATTCTGCAGGAATTGTAAAGTCTTGGCTTATCTGGAACTGCCCTCATGTCGTTATAACGCCAGCACAGTCTCCAGATTTGAATTTAATAGAAAATTTATGGGAAATATTGGACATTGCCATAAGGAAGAGGAAGATTTCCAACAAAAACGAGCTGAAAACTGCTCTTATGGAAGAATGGCAAAAAATTCCAGTGGAAACCACTAAAAAGTTAGTTTCCTCCATGGGTAGTCGTCTCAAAGCTGTCCTGAACCAGAAAGGAGGAAATACAAAATACTAGCGGTTAAGATAGAATTAATAAGTTAAGTAGAATCTACTGCACGAAATAAGCTGCGGCATGGAAAAAGCCTGTATATTTTTTTTTTTAATAATTATTTTGTTTTTATGATTAAGAAAATCGTTTTTATTTAATTAACATGTTAATATTCCCCATTAAAATACTGCATTTAAATTTTTCTGTTATCTTGCTTAGTTTAGCCGGAATAACGACCAGAACTTTTTTCAGGTAACTGCACGAAATAAGCTGCGAGCCACTGTATGTATATTAGTCGGCATATATATTTTGCTATTGGCGATGCTTCATTCTCTTTTTCAATTATTTCTTTATTTAAAGGAAAACAATTAGTGATTTAATTTTTAATAGATATTAGTAACGTATTACTACCAAAAAAAACAATTTTAATTTTTTTTATAATTTTATTTTCTATTTTTTTTTAATTTAAACTAAAATAAACTAAATTCCATAGGTGGCATATGTATTTTGACATAGCTTTGTTTCACAATTAAATACAATATATTGTTATGTAAATTCAATTTAAACAAAAAATTAAAAAAAACAAGAAAGCAAAGCTAACTTTGGGCGGAGCCGAAGTTGATATACCCTTGCAGTTAAAACCGGATATATATCGCAAACATCGGATAAAGGTGGCCAATCCATATGATTACATCATAATAAAACCAATTAATTACAATAAAAATCTAAAAAAAGTTCCAAGATTCTATCTTCAAAAATCCGAAAGTTGATATTTCTACCAAATACCATTTCCGATCGTTCAGTTACATGGCAGCTAAAGGATATAGTCGGCCGATACTAATTAAATTTCGTAGGTCGGATTAACTGACCAAAAATATAATCTGTACCAAGTTCCAGCTTTCTATCTTCAAAAACACGAAAGTTGGGTCATTTCCGATCGTTCAGTTATATGGCAGCTATAAAATATAGTCGGCCGATCCTTATGAAATTTGGCACTCTCTAACTCTAAAAAAACACCAAAGTTATACCATTTCCGATCAATCAGTTATATGGCAGCTATAGGATATAGTCGGCCGATCCCGTCCGTTCCGACTTATATACTGCGTGCAAAGGACAGAAGGGTGTGTGCAAAGTCTCAAGTCGATAGCTTTAAAACTGAGAGACTAGTTTGCGTAGAAACAGATAGACGGACAGACGGTCAGATGGACAGACGGACATGCTCATATCAACTCAGGAGGTGATCCTGATCAAGAATATATATACTTTATAGGGTCGGATATGTCTCCTTCACTGCGTTGCACACTTTTGGAAAAAATTATAATACCCTCTGCAAGGGTATAAAAATGCATCTAGAGGGCACCATATCTTTGGAATATTCATCCTAAGTGTAAATATCCAATTTTATACATTTATTTTAGTGCTTCTATGTTTTTTCCCAAACATTTTCCTATGGAAGTTTTTTGTTTTCTATTGAAATCAGAAGATCCAACCATTTTCCAATTTTGAAAGTTTTGTTTTAATTTTAATTTAAGGAAAAGCTCGAAATAATTTTTTGATAACAGTTTCACTCAGAGCTTCAAAGAGTTAAGACGAGCAACTAACCTACGCTCCAAGCTACAGCTTATCTGTTTAATCTACCAACCGATCATCCGATTCGAAAACTTCTTCGCGATATACCGCAAAAAAAACAAAAACTATAAACAAGTGAACTTGCTTTACTTACGCACCAAGGGCCCGAGCCCAAAACAACTACAATGTCTCGCCCACCCGATCGACCGCCCGACCGACCACTGACAACGATTAACACGATAAAAAGTGAACCAAAGTACATAATTATTACCAGAACTGATAATGGGAAATTTGAAAATATATATCACCTTTTATTATTAAACAAGAAAGGAAAGCTAACTTCGGGCGGAGCCGAAGTTTATATACCCTTGCAGTTAAAACCGGATATATATCGCAAACATCGGATATAGTTGGCCGATCCTTATGGGAATAGGAATATATACTCCAATTTATTACAATACAAAATCTAAAAAAAGTCCCAAGCTTCTATCTTCAAAAATACGAAAGTTGATATTTCTACCAAATACCATTTCCGATCGTTCAGTTATATGGCAGCTATAGGATATAGTCGGCCGATCCTAATGAAATTTGGTAGGTTGGATCAACTGACCAAAAATAGAGTCTGTACTAAATTCCAGCTTTCTATCTTCAAAATCACGAAAGTTGGGTCATTTCCGATCGTTCAGTTATATGACAGCTATAGGATATAGTCGGCCGATCCTTATGAAATTTGGCATGTCGTATTATTTTGCCAAAAATAGCTCTCACCTAAAATTTGAACTCTCTAACTCTAAAAATACCAAAGTTATACCATTTCCGATCAATCAGTTATATGGCAGCTATAGGATATAGTCGGCCGATCCGGGCCGTTCCGACTTATATACTGCGTGCAAAGGAAAGAAGGGTGTGTGCAAAGTTTCAAGACGATAGCTTTAAAACTGAGAGACTAGTTTGCGTAGAAACAGACAGACGGACAGACAGACAGACGGACAGACGGACAGACGGACATGCTCATATCAACTCAGGAGGTGATCCTGATCAAGAATATATATACTTTATAGGGTCGGAGATGTCTCCTTCACTGCGTTGCACACTTTTGGACAAAATTATAATACCCTCTGCAAGGGTATAAAAAGTGATAGACTACACCTGTAATGGATCAGTCGAAACATGCAAAAAACTTAGATCTGGTACCCTTCTCGTCAAAACAAAAAACCATTTTCAAGCTCAGAAATTACTTAAAATGCAATTATTCCACAACTTTCCGGTACACGTCGAAGAGCACAAAACTCTAAACTCCACCAAAGGCATTATATACTCTAACGAGTTAAGGAACATTGATGAAAATGAAATCTTGGAAGAACTGAAAGCTCAAAACGTTATTGACGTCCGAAAAATATTAAAAAAAGACAAGAACGATAGCAATAAAACGACAGAAACTGGCCTTATCATACTTACATTTGCAACAATTACCCTACCCGACAAACTCTGGATAGAATACGAAGTGGTTAACATACGACCATGCATTCCACCTCCAATGAGATGCTTCAACTGTCTCAGATTTGGACTTCCCTCCTCCTACTGTAAAAGCCCTAAAACATGCGCCAACTGCTCCAAAGAAAATCACACAACAAACGACGAACCATGCACCAATACCCCAACCTGCATCAACTGCAAATACGAAGATGACCAAATCAAACACCACAACGCTATGGACAAATCATGCCCCGCCTTTATCAAACAAAAAGAATTAACGGCCATCAAAATAACGCAAAAAGTAGACCACAAGACAGCCCGCTTCATATACAACACACGCCATACCCACTCACCAATATCCTACGCCCAAAAAGCCGCTATCACTACACACAAAGAACCAGCTACCGAAACAACAACGCGCGCAACCACTACATCACTACTAGACAAATTATCACCTATGAGGACTCCCCTGAAGAACACATGGACACCACTGCATCAACATCATTATACTCCACACGCTCCGAAATTTCGGATGAACTTAAATTAAAAATATTCACAGCCAAATCAAATAAGTTAGGAACTACCTTGAAATCAAAAGACAAAAACAACCAAAAAACTAAATCCGATAAGAAAACTAGTAAGAAATGTAAGGTATCTGAGAACATGAATATAATGAGCACAGATGAAGATTTAGACCTATGAAATGATACGTAACATATCAATAGAAAATTATTTTACTTCTAGTTATCCTTAAACTATCCCTTAACATGCTTAAAGTATTACAATTAAATATAAATGGATACCTCAATAATTATAATCACCTACAAATACTCATAAAAAACAAGAAAGCAAAGCTAACTTCGGGCGGAGCCGAAGTTGATATACCCTTGCAGTTAAAACCGGATATATATCGGAAACATCGGATATAGTTGGCCGATCCTTATGGGAATATGAATATATAATCCAATTTATTACAATACAAAATCTAAAAAACGTCCCAAACTTCTATCTTCAAAAATACGAAAGTTGATATTTCTACCAAATACCATTTCCGTTCGTTCAGTTATATGGCAGCTATAGGATATAGTCAGCCGATCCTAATGAAATTTGGTAGGTCGGATCAACTGACCAAATATATAATCTGTACCAACGTCCAGCTTTCTATCTTCAAAAACACGAAAGTTGGGTCATTTCCGATCGTTCAGTTATATGGCAGCTATAGGATATAGTCGGCCGATCCTTACGAAATTTGGCATGTCGTATTATTTTGCCCAAAATAGCGCTCGTGTTTGAAAAAATTGAAATATAACTCTTATTTTCAATTTTTATAATAATAATTAAGAATAAGAATTATTTTTCAATTTTTATAAAAAAAATAAAAATAAAAATTATGATTCAATTTTTATTAAAAAAATTGAAAATAAGTGTTACGATTCAATTTTTATTATAAAAATTTTTCCTATTAGTTGTGCAAATAAGTAAGAGTAAGAGAACCGAATCTCTCACACCGGGTTGGCTTTGCTTTCATTCACTCATTAAGTTAATTCACTTAACTCATTTTGAGCATTGTACATTTGAATGTGTGTTTTTTGACACTCATGCAGATGTCTACTCTATAATAACATTTAAATTTAATTCGAATGTACATACAAACCTAGATTAAGTACACATATACATATACATCTATGTTTAAGTCAAATGTCACATAGAGTTTAAGCAGAAGGCCTTTGTAGCTATTGCTTAATACAAACAAAAATTACCCGCACTTTATAATTGCTGGCAATTTCGTTATAATAATAAATTTTTTGATAATTAAGATTTGAAAAAAATTAGATTTTTTTAAACTTCTTTTGCAATTCTTAAGTTAACACTTTGATAAACGCGGAAAAGAGTCCTATTATTTCTATAAATAGTCCAAAATATTACATAACTATTTGGACTAATAGATACAATAGAAGATATTCTAGATACAATAGAAGGGTGCTACAATATATCTAAACTAAAACAAAGTCTAACTAAAACAAGAAAGGAAAGCTAACTTCGGGCGGAGCCGAAGTTGATATACCCTTGCAGTTAAAACCGGAATATAGAATAGAATCTGTACCAAGTTCCAGCTTTCTATCTTCAAAAACACGAAAGTTGGGTCATTTCCGATCGTTCAGTTATATGACAGCTATAGGATATAGTCGGCCGATCCTTATGAAATTTGGCATGTCGTAATGTTTTGCCAAAAATAGCACTCATGTCAAATTTGAACTCTCTAACTCTAAAAACACCAAAGTTATACCATTTCCGATCAATCAGTTATATGGCAGCTATAGGATATAGTCGGCCGATCCCGGTCGTTCCGACTTATATACTGCGTGCAAAGGAAAGAAGGGTGTGTGCAAAGTTTCAAGACGATAGCTTTAAAACTGAGAGACTAGTTCGCGTAGAAACAGACAGACAGACGGACAGACGGACAGACGGACATGCTCATATCAACTCAGGAGGTGATCCTGATCAAGAATATATATACTTTATAGGGTCGGAGATGTCTCCTTCACTGCGTTGCACACTTTTGACCAAAATTATAATACCCTCTGCAAGGGTATAAAAATCATATATCATTTACCCAAAAGTATCTTTATTTTTTAAATATCTTATCTCACAAACAATTTCTTTTCCTGACAACAAAAATTTGATTAGCTTTAACGACAATTAATTTACTTTATTGGATCGAAAAGATTCCTTCTTCCCTTTAAATATATTGTCAATAAAACCAAATGTTAATTGGGGCGCTCTTGAAAATCATTCAATAAGCCCTTTAAGCTATTCAGAAAGTTCCACCACATTTTCTGAAATTAAATAACATAATATTTTCCATTTCTACTAAAGCTTACTGGCACATTACCACAACTGTAGGAGTTACTGAGACCTAGAAGAGGAGACTTTTGTGCACAGGCCCTAAGGCGAAGCCTTTTTTGTTTAGGCCCCCAAAACTCACAGACTCCGCGTAGATTAGAAGACTTCTTCAGAAAGCTGGGTGGGACCACGAACCGCCACAAGTAGAACCTTACGAGCAGCACATCAGAGATCTATACCAAGATCCTTGCCTGAGCCTTGGCGGCAGTAGTAGTTGCGAGAGGTTTTGGCCACAAAACATTTACTTAAATTCCATTCCACTTTCATTATCAAATACACTTTAAATAAATTCAATCAACGGCAATTTGCCGGCAGAGTTGCTGCAAAGGCGTCGCCTATTCGCAAATATGTGCAATTTATTTATTGTTGCCACGCCGAATACCCAGTAGATTTTGTTGTTATTACCTTGGAAATATAAATTATTATATTTATACCCTTGCAGAGGGTATTATAATTTTGGTCAAAAGTGTGCAACGCAGTGAAGGAGACATCTCCGACCCTATAAAGTATATATATTCTTGATCAGGATCACCTCCTGAGTTGATATGAGCATGTCCGTCTGTCCGTCTGTCCGTCTGTCTGTCCGTCTGTCTGTCCGTCTGTCTGTCCGTCTGTCTGTCCGTCTGTCTGTTTCTACGCGAACTAGTCTCTCAGTTTTAAAGCTATCGTCTTGAAACTTTGCACACACCCTTCTTTCCTTTGCACGCAGTATATAAGTCGGAACGGCCCGGATCGGCCGACTATATCCTATAGCTGCCATATAACTGATTGATCGGAAATGGTATAACTTTTGTGTTTTTAGAGTTAGAGAGTTCAAATTTGACATGAGAGCTATTTTTGGCAAAACATTACGTCATGCCAAATTTCATAAGGATCGGCCGACTATATCCTATAGCTGCCATATAACTGAACGATCGGAAATGACCCAACTTTCGTGTTTTTAAAAATAGAAAGCTGGAATTTAATACAGATTCTATTTTTAATCAGTTTATCCAACCTACCAAATTTCATTAGGATCGGCCGACTATATCTCATAGCTGCCATATAACTGAACGATCGTAAATGGTATTTGGTAGAAATATCAACTTTCGTATTTTCGAAGATAGAAGTTTGGGACTTTTTTTAGATTTTGTATTGTAATAAATTGGATTATATATTCCTATTCAGATAAGGATCGGCCAACTATATCCGATGTTTGCGATATATATCCGGTTTTAACTGCAAGGGTATATAAACTTCGGCTCCGCCCGAAGTTAGCTTTCCTTTCTTGTTTTATTATTTTTTGTGAAATGATGAAAGCAAAATGGGATTTTTTAATGGCTAGAATAGCAAACTTTTTGGTGGAAATATGGTCAGAACAGAAGTATAATGTCTATAATCTCTCAAGCTTTTTTGGTTGGCTTTTTAGTTTAACCAATTAATAGTATTATATAGAATACCCCTTCCACTGTTAGGGTATTAAGAATTCTACTCCAAGTCCTTCCAAGGCTTTTTGACTCTACCTGTTGTTGTATCTGCAAATTGAATTTTCGTTTTGCATTTTGTGCGATTTTCGGCAATTCATTAAGATCTCCCTCTCTCTTTGCCCCGACTGCTGTTGCACTTTCCACAAAATGCAAATTTTCAAATTCGGAAAAGCTTTTTGAGAAAAACTAGAGAAATAAAAGCAAAGACGCAGTGGCAAAGGCACAAAGCAGCGCCAAATTGGCAATACAATGTGGCCCAAAAGAGGGCCTTTTGGTGAAAACGTTGAGACATCTGGGTTGCCAGTCGCCTTAATTAACTAATAAGATTCCAAAGTTTCATCCTATTTTTGTTTTTTTGTTACATTTTGAGGGCAGAGCATCCTGTGCATCCTGCAATCGCAAAATGTGAATTTTGAATTGTGGTTTCATCGACTGAAACGATTAACTTCTCGATTCGGTGGCAAATCGCATCAAAGGGAATTATCCGGGCCGGACCGATTGATTTACTGCGGAGGACTCTGGACTCTTTAACTTTAAGTGACTTTAAGCTGCTCTCCAGTCTTGGCATCCCTTCAGTTATGAATTATGGAAAGGCAACAGGTGAGACACGGACATGGCGAAAGGATGAAGGATTATGTGGGATGTGAGGGGATTTCACTCAAAAATGGTTAGAGTTGAATAACTTTAATGGAAATACTACAATAGTTCTACTTATAATACCTTATATTAAAGAAAATAATAAATACCCCTTCTTCTTCTGAAAATGTAGGATTTTTTTTTGCGAAGGAGGAGGTAAACTTTTCGCACCTCTTCGAAAAACTGTCCTCCGTGACGTCAGAGTTGGCATGCAGATAGGACACTGACAACCCTTAAGCCCCACCCCGCTCCGTTCCCAGACGGGCAGGACTAAGGACCTAAGGGGCATCCACAGAGCCGGGACATGCGAAAGGCACTGAGGGAGCAGCGTAGCTGATTAAAATGCGTTGCAGGAGCATAAAAAGCATTGAGTTGCATTTGCATTTATATTGTTTTGACCCCGGCATTGTTATCATTTCTTTTCCGCCACTATCTCTCGCTCTCCGTCTCTGTCTCCGACTCCGTCGTCCTGCCACTTTGTGGACACGTAGTTGGGCTTTCAGCTTCAGTTTGCAGGGCACAGTGCTCCTCCCGGCTGATCCTTGATTATGCCCCCGGCATTAAGCCAACTTTTGAGCTTGAGCTTTCCCAGCCGCCGTATTTTATGTCACTTTCTGTGGCCAAGACTTTGCGACTTTCGCGACCAGTTGTGGCAGGTCGGTAGGAGGTTCAAAATAATGGCCAGAGATAATGCGCAGAACTAAACGAGTCAACAGATGATTAGTTTCCTTTGCAAATAAAGGGTCCCACTGTCGGGCATCACATAACCTTTTAACACTCCCAACATCATTTGAAAACGTAGCAGTCGTAGGCCTTAGATGTCACAGTACATTGGTTCAACCATATTCGTTCGAAATGAACCACGTAAGAGTTTCTCCAAAAAAAAAATTATACAAAAAAATAATACAAACTACCTCTATTTTTGTGTTAGATTTACCAAATCTCAAAGAGTGACTTCGTGAGTAACTGGATCCAAAAGCACTTTGGGGACCAGAATGGATCTTTCAATAGAAGTACTGACCATGTTGGCGGCGGGATTCAATTCAATAATCGACCTTTGCAATCCAGTAACGAAGATGGAGCTTACAACGACAATAATTCAAATATCATTGACTTATCAGAAGATTGCTGCGGGCACGATGAATGTGTGCAAGATATCATAACAATCGAAGATGATGAAGAGCTTGATAGTACCAGGTGGATGGAAGAATTCGTTGACGTGGAAGACCGCAGCGAAAATACTCTAAGCCACATCGACGGGAACAGCCTCAATGATGATGATGAGGCAAGTCTTCAAGACGAGGACCATATCTATATGAGTAACGAGGCCAATCAGAACGAGGAGTCCAGCAACCAGAGTGAGCTCTACTATGCTGACTCGGAATACGAAGCCACCTCTGAGAATGAAAGCAAGAACTTCAATAGCAATGAAAGCGTGAACTCAAGCAATCAAAGCGAGTACAGCCCGGAAAACGAAAACAACTTGGCCAATTTGACCAACGACAATGAGAAGAACTCCATGAACGAGAACTCGAGTAACGAGAATATGTAAAATCTGGGCGAGAACTCAAACATTCAAAGCGATTACGACACGGAGAACGAGTTCGACTGGGAGCTCGTGACACTCGCGGAGTACTGGAGCAATTGGAAGACTAATTGCTAATTGGAAGACTAATTAGAGACTAACCTAGATATCCTTTACAGATGAACAATTCTGACTGGAATCAGAATGGAAGCGACTAGCATTTTGACCCGGAGTGATCTCGACTCTTGCATTAATCTCCATGAACACATTGATTGATAGGAAACGATGCTGCAGAAGACTCTGGGCATTAGCTACAATGATCATTCCCATAAATAGAACACTCTCCTGAAGCAGACAGGCATCATTAGCTACAATAATGAAGACCTTACAAAAGCAGACGCCTATTAGTTACCATGATGGTTCCCATAAACAGAAGTATACTGTACCAAACCAGACACTCATTAGCTATAATAATTATTATCATAAATGGAAGACTGCACCAAAAAAACAAACTCTGTTTATATAGATGTATAGCTTCGTAAAGGCCGCAAGCTGGCAAAACATGACAATAAATACAAATGAAAGCTGCAGTATTATTTTGTACATTTTCTTACACTTTTTAGTCGGTAGCTCTATGGGTTTTTCCTCCATTAAATCGGTTAGCTAGTGTCAGTTTACCAATGACACTTGATATCTGCACTGGCCTGTATACATACAAATAATTCTTAAGTTTAAAGTTACTGATCCCTACGAATTAAACCGGTAATCCATGCTGGGCTTCGTGAAGAGGCACGCGATCTAATTTAAAAGTCCATACTCGAGCCGGAGCTTCTACGCTGGAATACGTCGAGGAATATGCTTTTATAGAGCTTTTATAGAATAAAGTGACTTCTGGGAAAATTCTGGAATAAAATGTACTCTTCTGCCCCTAAGATTTCCGGAGACTCTGCCCTGGAGGGCCTCTTTTATTGGGACTTATTGGATTATTATACTGTAGCCACGGATAGTAAGTAAGCTCCGACTGTAGTAAGGATATATTCGAGGATGGAATAAATAAATAAATAACCATATTTTGTAACATGAAGGGCTTTATGTTTTTATCTTATTGTGGAGCTTTATTAAGTAATCATTATAGTAAGCAAAGAGAAAGGTCATGCTATTGTCAAATCCCTAGAAGACCGAATGGATCTATCTATACATTGATCCGCCTCATCGGGCATCATATATTCCTTGAAAGTATTTCTTATTATTGTTATTGTTGTAGTCCGAGCTAATCCCAGTATCGGTGGCCACTTCAGATACATAGTCTTCGGAATCCACAAAATCTGAGTTCCATGCGTATTCAGTGTCCGAATCTCCACCAGAATCCATAGTTGAATCCTCCTCGTCAGAGAAAAATTCCTCATAGACGGACCTATCGTCTTCTTTTGAATCATTTGAAGCAAAGCGATCGATTAGCTTCATGCTTTGATCCTTGAACCAAACTAGCAGCCAAATCCACTGGTAAAGACGTTCAAGCATCCAGAATTCTAGTCCACGAGCTGACTATTTAAAAGGTTAAAGAAAATTATTCAAGTTAAAGAATTCTTTTTACTTTTTACTCACAAACATGTTAGAAGGATTATTCTTTAATGATTTTATACTTGACTCCCTTTTAATAGAACTTTCAGTAACTGCCCTGAGCCTAAACCCAGGTGTTTTTTTCTGAGGTTTTTCACATGGCCTGCTGGATCAAGATTTTTGTCCTTCATTATACCATGATGGCCCCTCCAACACTATTATCTTATGTTTTTTTTGATTTTTAATGAAAATAATAATCGACATATTAAAGTACCATAAATTAGTAAAATTAGTTTTAAATTATTTTGAAAAAGTTTAAAAAGAAAAACACATGTCCTAAGTTAGATTTTCTTTCAAGGAAAATCAATAAAGTGTTTATTTTTAGTTCATTTTATTTGAAACTTATTTTCAACAAAAATATCACATCCTTCCAGGTAGCACTACTTGAGAAGGTCTTTCAGTCTAGAAATTCATAATTCGATATATTCCAGCTTGGAGCTTCAGCTGGCCGACGACTGGAGCTCTGAAGTCGTTTTCTTTTTCCAGTAGAGCCCATTGACCACACGATACTTAGAAAGCACCTCTTCAGGAACAACAAAGGTTCCCCGCAAGGACATCGATAGCCAGAAGTAGGCAGAGGAGTCCCCGAACTAGTATGGATCTCATACCGGCTGTCGCACTGACCCGCTACTTGTAATATGGCCTTAAAGGTTAAATAGACACAGAAATCCATTATTATTAAAAAATATTTAAAAAAGTCATATAAAAAGAATCATATTTTATAATAATTTACAATTGATTTGCGAAGCACATCTTACGGAACATATAGTCATGTTTTCACCTATGAAAACCAGATCTCCTTGTTTTTGAAGCGTTCCGTGAAGGTCTTCTTCCAATGTCCGCTGCGGCAGCCACCCTCGCAGTTGCACCCGACGACGTTGCACTTGCCATGGCCGCAGAAGTGACCGCTCTTGATCGTCTTACCGTCGGCGCATATGACGCTCTCGCAATGGGAATAATATTCGTGCTTCACCGAATCGACCGTAACACAGAAGCCATTCGTCTTGAACTTGATGCGCATCCCGTAACAGCATGAGGTACTAGATTCCTGGGCGAGGACAACGATCACCAGGATAGCGCACGGTAGTCCCAATATCCATCTTAAGGCCATGGTGGCTAGCTTAAGACTAATCCACTCTTGAAAAAAAACACGCTTTTTATACGACTTTCCAGGTCGTACAGTAATTAAGTAATTATTTTTATGGCCTCTACAATCGTGGGTTTTAAGAAAAGTTTTTACTTTAAAGTTTGAACCAAAATACAAGATCTGTCCGATTAGAATTTGAGGAACATACTGGGTATCTTAAAGTAAGAAGGTCTATCTAGAGAACTACTTTCTTGTAAGAACTCTACTCTTTTTATTTTATAAAAGTTATCATAAATCTATTAACGAAAACAACTGAATAAATATTGCCTTTAGTTTGTCTGAGTAATAGCAGAGTCACCATTTTTATACAGAGGGTATTATAATTTTGTCCAAAAGTGTGCAACGCAGTGAAGGAGACATCTCCGACCCTATAAAGTATATATATTCTTGATCAGGATCACCTCCTGAGTTGATATGAGCATGTCCGTCTGTCCGTCTGTCCGTCTGTCTGTCTGTCTGTCTGTCCGTTTCTACGCGAACTAGTCTCTCAATTTTAAAGCTATCGAATTAAAACTTTGCACAAACTTTGCACCCTTCTTTCTTTTGCACGCAGTATATAAGTCGGAACGGCCCGGATCGGCCGACTATATCCTATAGCTGCCATATAACTGATTGATCGGAAATGGTATAACTTTGACGTTTTTAAAGTAAGAGAGTTCAAATTTGACACGAGAGCATTTTTTGGCAAAACATTACGACATGCCAAATTTCATAAGGATCGGCCGACTATATCCTATAGCTGCCATATAACTGAACGATCGGAAATTACCCAACTTTCGCGTTTTTGAAGATAGAAGTTTGGGATATTTTAAGGTTTGGTTTTTGTATTATATTAAATTGTGTTATATTATCATATTTTCATAAGGATCGGCCAACTATATCCGATGTTTGCGATATATATCCGGTTTTAACTGCAAGGGTATATAAACTTCGGCTCCGCCCGAAGTTAGCTTTCCTTTCTTGTTATTGTAGCTTTTGAGGTAGCTTTTAAATATTGGTTTAAAAAAACTGTGATTGAAAGCTTTGCAACTGCATTGCACATGTAATTATGAAAAATTTAGATCTCAGAGACTATAAGAGTAGAGCTATAGTATTTGGTATGGAGACTCCTTCAATACCCATGCATTTCAAGTTTGTTTCAAAATTTTGCCAAGCCTCCTCCTGCTCCCACAAATAGCGAATTTCTGTAATCATCTCCTACCCTATAAAGTATGAATATTCTTGATCAGGATCACCTTCTTAGTTGATATGAGCATATCCGTCTATCCGTCTGTCTGTCTTTTTCTACGCGAACTAGTCTCTCAATTTTAAAGCTATCGAATTAAAACTTTGCACAAACTTTGCACCCTTCTTTCTTTTGCACGCAGTATATAAGTCGGAACGGCCGAGATCGGCCGACTATATCCCATAGCTTCCATATAACTGATTGATCGGAAATGGTATTACTTTGGTTTTTTTAGAGTTAGAGAGTTCAAATTTGGCATGAGAGATATTTTTGGCAAAACATTACGACATTTCATTAGGATCGGCCAACTATATCTTATAGCTGCCATATAACTGAACGATCGGAAATAGTATTTGGTAGAAATATAAACTTTTGAAGATAAAAGCTTGGGACTTTTTTTTAGATTTTTTATTTTAGTTAATTGGTTCTATTATGATCTAATCATAAGGATCGGCCAACTGTATCCGATGTTTGCGATATATATCCGGTTTTAACTGCAAGGGTATATCAACTTCGGCTCCGCCCGAAGTTAGATTTCCTTTCTTCTTAATATTATATTTCATAATTGTATATCGCTTATATATTTATTTAATTAATAAACACACATTCAATATAAGTTAAGCTAGACTTTTAATTGTCAGAGATAAGGTGACTATGACGTCATGGAAATCTATATAAAAGTACTTGCTAAACAAGTTCCTGCTGCTAATCAGCTTTTACTAATCTCCCACAACCTTTGACATCACATCCGTATACCTTCTGTCTGTGGGTTTTTTTTGGATTCAGCGCCCCAATTCCGAAGAGAGCACACGCATGAAGACTGATCTTCTTATCGGCAAGCTCAAGCTCTAGGAGGATTAAAAAGCCGGAGCCGAGAGTCTCGCAGCATCAGTTAAAATTATTCCGGTGGCTATTCAAGACTTAAAAAACTTAAGCTAAACTTAAACTTAAAAGTACGAAAATGGTCCAGCCGGTGGTGCTCTTGTCTGCGATTTCTTTTATTTGCGCCGCCCTGGGATCGGAGGAAGTAATACCCGCTTCAAGTGTTTTTATTTTGAAAATTAATTTAAATTCTATTTCACAGTCTTGTTATCTCACTAAAGAGCAGGAGGACGACTGCGCGGCGGTCTGTCATCCGATCGTGAAGCCCCTCCTGAGGTACTTTGAGAAGATTCAGGCCAAAAAATCGCAGTTCCAAAACGAATACTCAGAGTTGAAGAAAAAGTATACGGACTTGGAGGTAAGCCACTCGGAATTACAAAAGGATAAATCGGACTTGCAAAATAGGGTGATTGAAGTTGAAAATCTAAAATCTCAAATTGGTTCAAAAAATTTGGAAATCAAATTTCTAAAAGATAAAATTAGTGAATTAAATAAAACAAATGAACTTGCTACAAAAATACTTCGCGACGACATTGCCAAATTGGGCGAAATAGTAAAGAATATAAATTTTGATAATGGAACAGCCAGTCCATCACCAACCAGGACAGTCCAGCAACAACCTCCACCATCCAAAGGTAAGTTGGCAGAACCCAAGAATGTGAAAAATAAAACATCGAATTCATTAGCTATTCCAGATCGGTGTCCGCAAAGCCAAAATGAAACTGAGATCATCCAAGAAATCCAAATTCCAGGTTCAGATCCGTTTAAAGTGGTCTGTTACTCAAATAAGTGGATTGGTTCTGGTTGGATGATTGTTTATAAACATTGGGGTAAAACAAATTATTTTAATCGCACGTATGAGGAATTTGAAAGAGGAATCAAAGATGTCGAGACGCAGTTGGAGAATAATTACTTTATTGGACTCGAACGATTGCACCTCCTGACATCTAGAAACTCCTATGAGTTAAGAATGAGTCCTGACACATGCGACAACTTTGTCGTTGGGAATCGAAGCGAAGGCTACATGGTGAAAGATACCAAAGGGTGTACTGGACCCATATTGCCGAACCTTACGAAAGTCAAGTTTTCCACCTGGGATCGAGATGAGGATGGATATCCCGATCGTAATTTGGCAAAGGAAATAGGCTATGGCTGGTGGAACGAACCTCGGTATGTATTCTGTTTTCGCTTTATATTTTCTTTTATCTCCAAAAAGAAACTTGTAATTAATTTAATTAATATAAAATATACCTTTTTTTTAATTAATTTTCATTTAATAGAAGTTCTAAGTACTTCACTGCGCTTAGTATGATGATCCGAAGAAAGGATTAAAAAAGAAAACGGCGATTATTAGGAAATGGGAAAAATTATACAAAAATGCATCGAATAAGTTGTGTTATTATTAATTTATGTTTGTACATATATACATACATATATATTTAATATAAATGTATAAATGTAATAATTAATTGTAATTTTTGTTAATTAAGAAGAAAAAGTGTCCATTCTCAAAAATATATATATTTAATAAGGATATATATTCCACAATAACATTACCCTCTTAAAAGTGAAAAAACCTTAAAGAAACATAATAAAATAAGAAAATAAAATAAAATAGGAAAAAGCATTTTTTATTTTAAAATAAACTAGAAACCAGAACGGAAAGCTAACTTGATATACCCTTACAGTTGAAGTTGATATACCCTTGCAGTTAAAACCGGATATATAGATCGCAAACATCGGATATAGTTGGCCGATCCTTATGACAATATGATAATATAACCCAATTTATTATAATATTAAATCTAAAAAAAGTCCCAAACTTCTATCTTCAAACATACCAAAGTTGGTATTTCTACCAAAAACCATTTCCGATCGTTCAGTTCTATGTCAGCTATAAGATATAGTCGGCCGATTCTAATGAAATTTGGTGGGTTAGATCAACTGACCAAAAATAGAATCTGTACTAAGTTTCAGCTTTCTATCTTCAAAAACACGAAAGTTGGGTCATTTTCGATCGTTTAGTTATATGGCAGATATAGCCGGCCGATCCTTACAAAACTCTTTACAAAAATAGCGCTCATGTTTTGAACTCTCAAAATTTGAACTCTCTAACTCTAAAAACACCGAAGTTATACCATTTCCGATCAATCAGTTATATGGCAGCTATAGGATATAGTCGACCGATCCGAGCCGTTCCGACTTATATACTGCGTGCATAGGAAAGAAGGGTGTGTGCAAAGTTTCGATAGCTTTAAAACTGAGAGACTAGTTCGCGTAGAAACAGACAGAGGGACAGACGGACATGCTTATATCAACTCAGGAGGTGATCCTGATCAAGAATATATATACTTTATAGGGTCGGAGATGTCTTCTTCACTGCGTTGCACACATTTGGACAAAATTATAATACCCTCTGCAAATGTATAAATATGTATATCCTTTTGTGTCTATGACCTTTTGAAGACGATTTGGAACGGAATCCACCAAGGTTTGGAGGTAGGTCAACTGAATCTTATTCCACTCCTTTGTGACCTCAGAAATGGTTTCATCCTTTGTCCTAGATAAATCGGCAAATCTATTTCGCTTTATTATTGACCACACATTTTCAATAATATTTAGATCCGGACTTTGGGGTGGCCAATCTAGTGTTTCCACCCCTACTTCTCGCAAAAATGTCGTTATCATTTTCGCCTTGTGGCAAGGAGCGTTGTCCTGCTGGAGAATAAAAGCTTCACCGATGCATCTGTCGCCGCTGGGAAACTCAAAATCGTTTAGGGTATTTAAATATTGACCCTGGTTCATAGAAGCATTAATGGGAACTAAGTCTCCCACACCATTATAGGAAACGCATCCCCAGAATACTACGCTCCCACCTCCATGGCTAATTTTTTGGCATACAGGCGCATTTTTTTTACGATAATCGTACATAACATAAATTACATAACACATATTAATCGTACATAAACTTTTTTTGGTGATGAGTGGAACTCAAAACTACTTTCATTCGTCCACAAAACATTTCGCCAACATTTTTTTTTTTTATTATCAATAACTATTGATTGATAATAAAAAAAAAAAGATCTGTCCGCAGTTATGGACAATAGTTAAATTTTATAATGGTACCTTAAATTAGTGGAATATTGAGTAATAAAATGTTTGCTTATCCTAGGAAACTAATTTTAACAGTTAACCTTAGCGATAGAAAGTTGACAATTCAAGTTATTTATTTTCTATGAAATTAAATTTTTTTTTTTTTCTAAGCCTTGACGTTAAAATTAAATTAAAATTAAAATTTGACAGTCGAGAGTATAGAAAAATTTGAATGTTTAGTACTCTAGTTTTTATGTAGGGCCCTTTAGTGGGCCTTAATAGTTCTACAACTGCAGCTCAGTCCCGTTCGCCCGAGTGGCAAAGGTCCAGTGGGTGGGTCCGTTTCAGCCTCCTTGCTGTTGTCTAGTAGATTGATGGCCTCAGGGTTAGGATGTCGGTCCAGCCTTTCCTTGTACTTATTGGCGAATCGCTGAACTTCTGCGCTCACAGATGGGACTCCCAGTTGGGCGTGGATTGTCGCGTTGTCGTGGAACGGATAAGCTCCAGTTAGTGTTCTTAGGGCCCTGTTTTGGGGGAGCTGGATGACCCTTCGGTTGCTTGGACACGCCGTCCCCCATAACTGGATACCATACGTCCAGACTGGCTTTACGATGGTCTTGTATATATGGAGCTTTACTCTTAGCTTCAGCCTGGACCTCCTTCCAGCCAGTGAAGCTGACGCAGCTTGTCCTGGAGTTGCTTCTGTTTGCGCATCAAGTGGGTTCTCCAGGTGAGCCTTCTGTCCAGGGTCATACCCAGATATTTGGGTGTAGGGCTTGCTGGAATTAGAGCGCCTCCGAGACTGACTCCAGGACAGTCGCCTCTCCTCAGTGTGAACGTCGTTTGGGCTGATTTCTCGTGGTTAACGGCAATGTTCCACCTTCGAAGCCACGGGTCGAGGATGTCCAGCTGGCGTTGGAGACATGCAGTAGTCTCCTCTGGCGAGGTTGCAGAGGCAAAAAATGCCGTGTCATCTGCATATGTAGCGGCTAGAAGGCCCTCCTCTTCAGCGACAGGCATGTGTAATTTCGCCAAAATAAGATAGGTTTTGAGATGTACTTTTTTGCAAAGTCCAAACGTTTGAGTTTATTTTTGGGGGTAATGAAAGGTATAGGCTTTGCTATATATGTATTTATGCCAGACTCAATTAAACGCCTTCGTATAGTTCTTTCACTTATGGAATTTAAAGCAGTCAAATTCCACTCCAATGCCGCAGCTTTTGGGGTTTGAGAGGATCTTTTTTAAATTGGCGCACAATCACTGTTGCAGCAGCAACAACCCAACACCATATAATCCTGCAATATTGCAATCCTGCTCCTTGCTCTTTCCCAAGAAAAGTAACCACAAAAATTAGAGCAACTGAAGCTAGGAGTCTCTTTAAAAAAATATGTACACATTTGCTGTCAATTTCAATTTAAATTTTGAAGTTTGTTCACAGTCGTATCCACCTCATGTCCGAGTTATTATTTATTTTTTAATGTTTTTCCTTAATTACCAAATTTTTGTTTTTTTTTTTTTAATTTTTCATTAAACCGCGTTCTGATTATAAATAGAGTATTTTTTGAGCAACAACTTTACTCCATTCTCCTAGACATCCTTGAGTTAAATAACACTTAAATAACAGTGATTTTTTTTAAGTTGTTGATTTAATTTTAGTTGCAAGTCCCATTGCAAGTGTTGTTGCCTTAGCAATATTTAATTGTGATTATATAGGATATACAGTATAGGATATGTGTTAGGATGTAGGCCGCCTCCCAGGTTTCTAATCTTCTTCTATTCTAGGCGCATCGGGGCAGATTGAAAATAGGCGAGTGAAACAGTAAGTTCGGAGCGTTACCAAAAACCGTCAAATGTCGCTTTCCCACTCTCGCCTATTCGCTCTCTCGCATCGCAAGCGCTGAACGATGTGAGAGAGCCACCGAGACACGCCGTCTCTCCCCTTCTTTCTCGAATGCCTTTCTTTCTCTCCTGTTTGCTCTATAGCCGCGCATCAGCCGTTCAGTAAGTGTGAAGGTTGGGGTTGGGATGTTGCGTTCACCTGTGATTCGCACTGAACGAAGCGATATTCTTAATAGTTTTTAACAATATCGCTAAATCGAAGGAATATATGTACGTATTACGGCTATTGATTTGTCATCAACAGATTGTTGTCTCCAATATGCCTGATGAAATACATGACAATCCAAGGTAAATATATATTAAGTAAATATATCAAATAAATACATATATCCAAAAACAAGAAAGGAAAGCTAACGTCGGGCGCAGCCGAAGTTTATATACCCTTGCAGTTAAAACCAGAAAAAATATAATCTGTACTAAGCTCCAGCTTTCTATCTTCAAAAACACAAAAGTTGCGATAATTCCGATCGTTCAGTTATATGGCTGCTATATGATATAGTCGGCCGATCCTTATAAAATTTTTAGGTTGGATTAACTGACCAAAAATATAATCTGTACTAAGTTCCAGCTTTCTATCTTCAAAAACTCGAAAGTTGGTCCGTTTCCGATCGTTCAGTTATATGGCAGCTATAGGAAATAGTCGACCGATTCTTATGAAATTTTGCGTGTCATAATGTTTTGCCAAAGATAGCTCTAGTGTCAAATTTAAATTCTAACTCTAAAAACACCAAAATTATACCATTTCCGATCAATCAGTTATTTGGCAGCTATAGGATATAGTCGGCCGATCCCGGTCGTTCCGACTTATATACTGCGTGCAAAGGAAAGAAGGATGTGTGCAAAGTTTGAAGTCGATAGCTTTAAAACTGAGAGACTAGTTCACGTAGAACAAGAAAGGAAAGCTAACTTCGGGCGGAGCCGAAGTTTATATACCCTTGCAGTTAAAACCGGATATATCGCAAACATCGGATATAGTTGGCCGATCCTTATGAAAATATGATAATATAACCCAATTTAATATAATACAAAAACCAAACCTAAAAATATCCCAAACTTCTATCTTCAAAAACACAAAAGTTTGGTAATTTCCGATCGTTCAGTTATATGGCAGCTATAGGATATAGTGGGCCGATCCTTATGAAATTTAGTAGGTTGGATCAACTGACCAAAAATAGAATCTGTACTAAATTCCACCTTTCTATCTTCAAAAACGCGAAAGTTGGGTCATTTCCGATCGTTCAGTTATATGGTAGCTATAGGATATAGTCGGCCGATCCTTATGATATTCGGCATGTCGTAATGTTTTGCCAAAAATAGCACTCATGTCAAATTTGAACTCTCTAACTCTAAAAACACCAAAGTTATACCATTTCCG